GGAGGAGAGAGACGAGAGAGAGAGGAGAGAAAGAAGAAGAAGAGAGGAGAGAGAGAGAGAGAGAGAGAGGAGAGAGAGAGAGAGAAGAAGACGAGAGAAGAGGAGAGAGAGAGAGGAGAGAGAGAAGAGAGAGAGAGAGAGAGAGAGAGAGAGAGAGAGAGAGAGAGAGAGAGAGAGATGAGGAGAGAGAGAGAGAGAGAGGAGCAGAGAACTATGCTTTGCTCTTCAGTGGGAAAAGTGCAAAAGACAAATGTAAAGAAAAAGAAAATGAATAAAAAGGAAGATGAGAAACAGAGGAAAGATACAGAATCCTAATTATTATATAAAAATAACAACCATGTGCTCATAATACTAACAAATGATAGCCAATTTCCTTTATCTTTTTTAAACTCTGCCCACTCAAGATGGATAAAAAGAGGAGTTCTTATCTCTATGGAATGGAAAACTTAAGCAAAAAATTCTCAAGATTTATTATGACAGAAGTGAGAAACTACATATTCAGCTTTCAAACAATAACTTTTTGTATATCTGAAATATCAATGTTTAACAGTCATTGTTACGATAGGAATTAATTTCAATTCATACGATGAGGACCGCATATTAGAAGTGACTTACTACAATTCAACTAAATCCAATATCTATTTCCTCACTGTACAACAGTTGATTGGTCAGGAGTAAAATATCTTATTTTCTCTTCTTATAAACTAAAAAAACTGAACGAGCAATAGTTTCACAATGTGGAAGTAATGAGCTTGCATAAATCATATAACAATTTTTTCTTTCTTTCAAGCTTTACAAGGATCACAAAAAAATATACATATATATATACATATAAAGTTCTATAAAAGTTCAACGATTTACAAGGCATTTCCTCCTGATGTTCATTGTGAAACTTGCCTACAAAATACATAAGCAGTTATTAGTTCAGTACAAAAATAATATTAAAAGTAAAACCATATGTTCCATATGGAACAGTGTATCATACACTAAATGACATTCTTTTTTTTTCTGGAATTCCACGACCACTTCATGTTTGGTCATTGCCACCGCATTGTGGGATATGGGTCAGTGAAGGAAATCATGCCAATATCTATTATTCAAGGTGAAAATTACTAAATGAAAAGAAAAGATTAAGTTTGGGGGAAAAATTATGTTGAAGATATCTGTATAAGACAATCACACAACTTAATAAGGTTGTTTTGGATACCACATAGTATGAGAAGCATCTCTTTCAACATAGGTTTCTTGAGGCAGCTGGTGATGAGCTAAGTTAAGTGCTGCTCCCTCATGCAATGCAGCCATAGCAACTGCTGCCTCTTGATGCAAATCACTCGTTTCCTCTAGTCCGGCTGATGCCACTGCAACAGACACTACTTCTTCGGCTCGCACCATTTCATGGGTGAGATGGTTTTCCTGAGGTATACTTTCTTGATTAAGAACCTCCTCATGTGACATTGTTTCATCCAGTGCTAAGGGATCAGCATCCAAGTCACCATGCTCCACATTTATGGACTCTGGATCAATTTCAACAGTTGGAATTTCTTCAAGTTCTTCCTTTGCCTGAATAGTTGGTTGTCCAGCCCCTTGAGCATCATCATTGCTGTCAGCATGGATCTCAGCCTTAATCAACGTTTTTGCTCCTTCTTTTGAATCTATGGCTGCATCTTCATTAACAGGATTCTTCCTTCGACCTCTCTTTCCATACCTGACTTTCTTCCTTGGCCTTCCCCGAGGTCTTCCAGTAGGTTTTTTCCGGTAAGCTTTTCTACCACTTCCTAATGGTCTACCACGTTTTCTCTTTTCACCAGTACACCTTTTCTTATGTGAAGATAATGATGAACTATGTGTGAAAGCAGTCTGACAATATTCACATACAAATGGCTTCTCTCCAGTATGCGTACGAGCATGATTTTTTAGCGCTTGAGCCGATGCAAAAGCATGGTCACAATGTTCGCAGGAATATGGTCTTTCCCCTGTATGAACTCTCATGTGACCTGGTAAATGGGAGCTACGCGAGAAGGTTTTT